GGACCTAGACAGTATAATGTAAGTGAAATAAGTAAAACAGAGAAAGACAAATATCATATGATTTCACTCATATATGAAATTTAAAAAACAAAACAAAGAAAAAAGAGATCAATGAACAAATGAAGCAGTGACTCTTAAATACAGAACACAAACTGGTAGTTGCCAGAGGAGAGGTGGGTGACAGGATGTGTAAAATAAAGAGTATTAAGAGTACTGTTGTCATGATGAGCACTGACTAATGCATAGAACTACTGAATCATTATACTGTATAACTGAAACTAATATAACTCTATATTGTAATTACATGTCAACAAAGAAAATATTGGGGAAAAAATAAAGAACAAAAAAAAGCCAGGAATTACTATGTTAAAATAGTAAATTTTTATAAATCAGAAATTATAAACAAAGTCCAAAGACAAATGGCAACTGTGAAAAAACTATTGATAACTTATATCATTGGCAAGAAATTATTGTACCTATTACATAAAGAACTATTAGTATTGATAAGTTAAAGAGTCTAGCAAAAGAATATAATATCAAGGGACATGAACAGTTAGTAAAAAAAACTGTACCCTTCAAATGTGAAACGGTCAATTTCACTCATAATAAGAGAAACATACATTAAAAGTACACAAAGATGCTATTTTTCACCTATTATATTTGCAAAATTCCAAGTTTTAGAATCCCATTATTGGCACTGCTGTAGAGAAATAGTCACTTTTCTATGTCAGGGAGAGAAGTGCAAAATACTACAGTACCTACGGAAGGGGATCTAGTAATATCTACCAAAATTAAAGATTTATTTATCTGAATCAGAATCTCACCTTTGGAAGTTTCTCCCACAGACATACCTATGTGTATGTTAAATGTGTGTAGAACACTCATTATATAATTGCATGAAATAGCAACAAAACAACAACAATAAAAATTAAAACATCAGAGTTCATAAACATTCATTAAAACATCTATGGGTGAATGGTACTCCAGTGAAAATGATGAAGTCAAAAATTTTACCATTTGAAAATTTCAAAATTTTCAAAAATTCTCTCCATCATAAAAGCAATTATTAGCGAGTTTTTTTTTCAATAATTTCAAATAATTATCACAACCATTAACATGGCTACAAAAGTTTATACTCAGGGAGGACTTTCGGTGAATTACCATTTGATCATTACAACAGGCACTGAGATAGATACTGTATGTGTTAAGATGAAGCAGTCCTGTTGAAAAACAAACTGAGGGTTCTAGAGGGGAGGGTGGGGGGATGGGTTAGCCTGGTGATGGGTATTAAAGAGGGCACGTTCTGTATGGAGCACTGGGTGTTAGGCACAAACAATGAATCATGGAACACTACATCAAAAACTAATGATGTAATGTATGGTGATTAACATAACAATAAAAAATTTAAAGAAAAGAAAAGATGAAGCAGTCCTAGAACTTGCTTCTAAAGTATTTACAATATACTAGGTGACGTAGACATCTTAGCTAGAAGCTCACAAACATTTCCTGCAAATGCCATTAGTAAATATTTTAGACTTTGGGTACCTTACTTTCTTTGTCCACCTCTTCATTCTACCATGGTAGCTTGAAAATAGCCACATACAATACATATATGCAGTGTGGCTGTATTTAAAAAACACATTAGTCGTGGAAACTGATATTTGAATATCATATAATTCCCATATGTCACACATTTTTTTTTAAAAATTCAAGATTAAAAATGAAAACAACCCAAAACTTGTTTAGTATGTTGACAATATCAAAATGTGCACAGGCTGAATTTGGCACACAGACTATATAGTTTAACAGACCCATGATCTAAACCATAAACTAAACTTTATAGTTGAATTAGTATCAGAAATACCAAACAGTATTTCCCAGTTTTACCTTTAAGGAAACAGAAATACAGGGAATGAAAGAGACTTGCCAGCTATAAGACAGATAATAAGCAGAGAAGCTATAACTCAAACCTAGCTCTTTGCTTACTAATCATTGGTATCTCCTGAAGACAATGAGTCTATTCCAATAATAGGTGTTTGTGGATGGCATAAATTTTAGAATTTGTGTGATAACTTATATAAAATTATATCCTTAGTTATAATGGGATTCATTCAGCACTGTTCATGTAAAAATCAAATTTTTACATGATTTTTGGAAAAGAAAAAACACTTCTGTTATAAAATTATGATGACATTACTATATAATTTGTTCTAGGAGGAAAGGACTTACTTTCTAACCAGTGTGTTATTATATTTTCCCTACCCTAATCCTTCAATTATTTAAAAAACTTCAAGTCCGTGAGATACATAAAAAGGTCTTTAATAGTCCCATGAGATCAAATTCATGATATATATCCATGCTAGTTTTGGTATTTGATCTTTCATGGTCAATACCATCAGGAAAAAATATGGATTATCAATTATACATATATATATATTTATAATTATAGGTATGTAGAATGGTGTATATATATTATGCATGAATATGTATAATTCTACTATTTACATTAGAAATAGCTCTATGATCATGGTCTTAGCCACGTATAAAAGTCTTAGTAGTGAACAATATATATTGACTACTGTCAACAAAATAAATGCCGTCATAATAATCCAATCATTGACTAGAAAACACTAAAAAGCTTATAAGAAATATATGAGAAGTTGGTATGTATCAAAATACTTAGGGTTTGAGCCCTAATCAAAAGCCCAATTAAAGTTGTTTTATAATGTGAAATATAACTGCAGACATACAAAATTATAATCAAGAGCTCAAGGATAATTTAAAATATGTTTACATAAGACATCTATAAAAATACTATTTTAATACAAAAACTGCATTTCATGACTACTAATTATTTCTGCTGACAAAACTGCTGTCATTTCTGTGGCAGAAAAGGTCCAAGTTGATAATTATCAGTTCTTTTTCATGCTCATAGTAATTGTGATGATTCTATTTTTTTATAAGTGCTATGAAAATACATAGCTGGTTCCTTATGAATGTATTTGTGTGAAATATAAATTTACTTCTTGAACCAATTAAAATAATGGGGCAAAGAGCATTATTTTAATCACGTATGGATTGAGCTTGGTAGTCTTCAAAAAATCAGTTATGTTTTTATGTATGTACATAGTAATAGGTAAGTGGAAAGAATCTATACGATCAAGTCAGAATTTCTCATAAAGGAAGATTAGAATAGAGTAGAAAGACTAAGTGAGTGGATCAGGTCAGATAGTGAATAAGAGAACCACATCCTTGGGTATGACCCTTTATATTTGTCCGCTGATTCTGTAAACAATAGAACAGATACCAATTTCTACAGAACCTCCACAAATATGAACGGCTTCACAGACCTCCACCCCCTCCTGGTGGGTAACAAGCTCTCAACCATATGTTCATTGGCACTCAAGCCCAGAAAGAATGTTTGAAATTGATCTACCTATTATGGTTTCATCGTTTACCAAATGAGATGATGCAAGAGGAAATGAAAGTTGTCTAATCTGTCCCTTTCCAGCAAATTTTTTTTTCAGTTAGATTGAAATGACAAGAAATATACATAACAGAATATTTATGATAATAAAATATGTTTTCCTTTTGGTATACACCTAAAGGGGGGAAATTTTTTGTTTCTTATTTTTCTCCTTTCCAAGGATAATAAATTATTATAAAAAAGTATTTTGAATTTCATAACCAAATTAACTTTCAAAGTAATTTAGTATAACATATTTTTATTTCAGCACATTTCTTTCCATTTACTTTGTGGAATACTTTGTAGAAAAAACAAAGGAAATGATGAAGATGAGTTGCTTCATCTCATTTTAATGTTCATATAAGAAAATGATAGAATTGTTTCAGATCTTTTTTTATGTACCACATTCTGACTCTGTAGCTCCTGCTGGCTATGGAAAATACAGCTGCAACCCAGTGCATCCCCGTTGGATGAGGGGTAAAGCAGATGGCTTGTGCTCCTACACTGCCTACACATGAGGGAAGTACCATGGCTTGGATGGAGTGCTATTTTTTTCTCTTTTCTTTCTTTTCTTTTCTTTTTTTCTTTTTTTCTTTTTTTTTAGTACTAACAGTGCTAAAGTGAAAATAAATAGTCAAGCAGGGAGATGGAATTCACTGAGCCTGCAGTCATGGAGATTCTACTGCTGTGCTTACTGTTTCTCCCAGAGGTACTGAACAAACCTAAGTGGCTGCTTCCAATGATCCGTAATTCATCAGAAGGTCTCTCCATCTCCCACTCTATTCTCTACCCTGGAGCCTACATGACACATGGTTAAGCTGTCCTTATTACTGAGCACACAGTTTCCTAACGGGTTTGATAAACCATTAAATTGTCTTGTATTTTCGAGAGAAAGGGAAGTTCGTCTGAAGTTACTGATTATTTTATCAACTTCATTCTTTTGGAATGTTAATAAAGTCTGTATATCCTGTGTATACTGAATGTATATTTAAAATATATACCAGCATTTATATGGAAATTAATTTGGGGGATTGAAAAAATATCCATGTGCTTTTAAAAAATGACTTAAATTCAAATACAATTCCTGTAACAATAAAAAAAAATCAGATGTCTTTGAAAAAGTGTGCTCTTTTTGCTTCATGTGTATTAGCAATAGATTAAAAAATATAAATATCAATGCACCAATAAATGACTTTGTGACCAATTTCAATATACCTTCATGGTAATAAGGACAAAATTATTCAATTGTGTGTTCAGTTAAATATTTCCACTTTATACAAAGGAATATAAAGAGTAATATACTGGTGAAGGACATTCAGTCCAGCATGTATGGACTAACGTTTAGGGAGAGGTGCCATGACTGGTAAAGCTCATTTTTTTTACAATCATTATTTTAAATCCTTTAGTAGAAATAATAGTATTCTATAGCATATTTCATTCTACTTTCCATGTCTTTTCAAAACCAACCCAACTCCACTGTCGTCTTATCCCATAATTTCTTAGAAGAAGAAAAAAAAAAAAAACAAAAACTTACTTTTCCAACATACTGAGGATCTGGTCCCATATGTTCTTCTAAAACAAAGAACTGATTCCAAACCCATCCCCTTTTGGGACGATGGTGGACTTCGGTCTCCCCTTCAATATGTTTGGTCTGGTTCCTGGTCACCTTGATGGAGCCGTGGTGAGCAGTTCCGTGACACCTCTGCACAAAACACAGACACACTAGGACTGGACAGATGCAAGATGTGCTCGTAATTTTCATTGTAAGATAGCTTTCCAGTTCACAGTCTCCTTTCTTTTCCTTGTCAGTTATAAATGCTTAGTGCGCATTCAAGAGAGAAGCCAGAGCATCTTTTGAAAGGACAGTCCAAAGCAAACTGTTTAGCGTGTCCATGATTTAACTGCCCATCAGGGAAAGGTCAGACTACATTTACATCCTGAAACACTTGGAGAATCAAAGCTGTAGTTGTCTGATTCCAAATCTTCACAGTAAGTGAACACCGACCACCATTTTCTACCTAATGGAAAGAGAGAAAATGATATATATTACAAAACATGGCAGCTTTAACTATTTTCTCTGAAGGCAAACTATGCTATTTTGTAGTATGATGCTGATAAGTAAAGAATATATACAAATTCTTTTGGAAATACATGCAAACATGCATACACATAGTCATGCATAAGCCTGCATACTGCATACATTTTTATAAGGACCTCCCTATCTGTACTGTTCTCAATATTTAAAAACAAATTTATATAATATATATATTAGTATTTATATATATTTATTTGTATATATATTTGTATTTTAAAAGAATTTATGTATTTGAATATTTGTGCATATATACATATATATGCATATTTGTATATTTATATATGTATGTATGTATAAAATCCTTTGAAACAACAGAAATGCAGGTTTGGGAGTCCAGAAATGCTCAGAAACTGACCATGAGTATCTGCACAGGTGTAATATGATCTCTTAGAATATGGGATCTATTAGGCTCTCCACAGTAAGTGTAAATTTTGTTTGCTTTTGTGTTTATTTTGTTTTTTTGTTAAATGTGATACAAATTCACAACACATACTATACTTGGATTACATGCTACATGTGACTCACTGTACTTCAACAAAATATTCAAAATACTTTACGGTTGAAAACTGTCATAGGTCAATCAAGTAGGTACTTGGATTGCTTAGTAAGTACAATAGAAAAAAAAAAAACAGCGAAATGAAGATGGCTGGAAAAAAAAATGTATGCGATTTAAAATAACTCCATACATGGATATCAGATTGGCACAGCTGAATATGAGCGAGAGAGCATCAATTGGGCTGAATTACAGCTTGACTGGATTTTGAGAGGCCTGCAGATAATACTCCAGGATGTGGTCTTCATATTTAGGCAAAACAGATTTCAAGCTTGGGGATGACATTACACATAATTCTAGCAGCTATGTAAATAAAGGTAAAAGGAACAAAATAATGGTGGCAAAAATAGCAGGAGGAAATGCTTTGATTTTTAAATGAGAAATATTGAGGACTTGGACTTAGATTTTAGTACAATTGGACAATAAAGCAAAACTTAAGACACATTTCTAGAAGAGAAGAGAGGATAAGGGGAAAATAGAAAGTATTAGCTTATAAAAACTTAAAACTGTGTAGCAAATTTTGCTGTATTTGTAGATGTGATTTATTTATTTTTTAAGATTTTATTTATTTATTTGACAGAGAGAGAGAGAGCACAAACAGGGGGAGTGGCAGGCAGAGGGAGAGGGAGAAACAATCTCCCCGCTGAGTGGGGAGCCTGATGCGGGGCTGGATCCCAGACCCTAGGATCATGACCTGAGCAGAAGGTAGATGCTTAACTGATGGAGCCACCCAGGCGCCCCTGTGTGTTTTAATGTGTATTTAGAAAAAAAAAAAATTGGCTTCAAGATTATGGCTGCTCTAGCTAGTAAAAATATTAGATGAATCACTTTCTCATTTCATGAAATTCACCCCTGTACACCAACACAAACTGAAATGTAGGTCTGAAAGAATTACAAGGTAGATGACATGATAATATAAAGATTTAACAAACTGAATACAAATAAGTCGTCATAGGATAATTCTTTCACACAATTGACAAAAATATTTATATCAAGTAGGGAATGAAAAAAAATCTCACATGAGACTTAGAATATGGTGCTTTTCTCTATCAGTATCTCTCCCTATAAATTAGGGTTAATGGTTACGCTTTTTTACCAGTTGTGCAAGAACTGTATTGATTAGAACTAGGATTTCATTTTAATTATCTGGTAAATATAACTTGAATTTTGCAGTATTTTACGGAAGCCAAGATAAATATTTCACTGAAATTAAAAATGACTCAAAAACACTATTTTTTATTTTTTTTAATTTATTTTTCCTTTTTTTAATGGGTGAAAGACTTTAACATCTCACCATAGAAGATATACAGATAGCAAATAAGCATTTGAAAAGACAGTCCATATCATTTGCCATCAGGGAAATGCAAGTTAAAACAATAAGATACCACTATGTACCCATTAGAATGGTAAAAATCTGGAACACTGACAATACCAAATACTTATGAGGATGAAAAGCAACAGGAATTCTCATTCATGAGTGGTGGGAATACAAAATGGCAATATTTTGGAGGTCAATTTGGTGGTTTCTTACAAAACTAAACATACTCATCATAAAACCAGCAATTGTTCTTCTTGCTATTTACGCAAAAGAGTTGAAAACATGTCCACACAAAAACCTGCGTGTGAATATTTACAGCAACTTTGTTCATAATTGCCAAAATTTGGAAGCAACCAAGATGTTCTTCAGTAGGTGAATGGATAAATAAACTGGTACAGCCAGACAATGGAATATTATTCAGCACTACAAAGAAATGAGCTAACGAATCATGAAAAGACATGGAGAAAACTTAAATGCATAGGACTGAATGAAAGAAGTCAATCTAACATATTTTTTAAAAATACCATTGCAGCTCCAACATGATGAGAGCACTGGAAAGAAAGTCAGAAAACAACAGGTTTTCTTTCGTTTGTTCATTCCCCAACAATGTACTTATAGTACAAACATATGAATCATCTAATTTCTTTGAGTCTCAATTTTACCAAAATTTGTGGCTTGAATAATTGATTTTAATATTCTTTCCAGTCTAATAAATTATCTGAATTTTATATACTTTTTATGTATCAACAGACAATTTTCAAGTTACGGATTTTGAAAAAGGAACTTTAGTCATTCTTCTTAGAAGTCAAATTGACGAATATACAGAAGGTGCTATCTTAATACTTTCACACCACTTGGTGTGATTTTTAAATGAAATTAACATCTTTGCCCTTCATGTTAAGTTGTTTAACAAAGCATAATTCATGAGTGAAGGTGAAGAAAGTGGTTTTTGTAATGCATTACAGATATGTAGAATGAGTGTGTTCTTTATAATATTGATCTTGCCTGGCCTTCCAAAAATATATAAATGCATTTTTATCTACAAATGTATCTTTAGAATCTCTACTATGATAATTATAAAGTGATAAATAAGGCTCTGTGGAATGAAAGAACAAATGTAAATATTACTGCTGTACTTTTATAAGTAATTTTATTTACTATGAGAAGACAGATCTCCAAATATAAAAATCTGCTCTACTTCCAGAAATCCATCCCTGCATAGGTTAGAAAGAATTAAAACACAAATTATATTAAAATATTAAGACTAACACAGTGGAAATATGTTGCAGACATCTGCCATTTTCTGATTAAGCAGCACTCAAACACCTTCCTAACTTTCATGGAACAGTCCAATATATGAAGTCTGATAAACAGAGCCCTTCCACCTCTGAACACTTAGTGACCTGGTACTTTCTTCTTACAACATTTTAGATAGAATTTATACCAATTACATATACGTGTTAACTATATGTTCCAGCACCCTGAAACAAATGATGGATGAATGGAGAGACAATTGAGAAATTTTTCACAATGGTGCTGAGGTTCTCAAGGTCCAGATGTAGTGGATGTGAGTCCCCACTCTTCTGGGGGAGTCCAGGGGCAGCTGCATGAGTTAAGAGTCATTCCAACTACACCGTTTCAGTGGTGAGTACCTGAAATTGTTTCTTACTATCTAACTTTTGGTTTCCACTTCTCAAACCCGATTCTTTAGCCCTCATCAGTTTTGATGGCTGTACAATATTTTTCCAATAAATTTATTTGCTGCTTTCCATTGTCAAATTTGACATCTGTTATTTGAAAGAATTATCTCTGATAAAAAACATTACTGTCAGTCCAAAAAAGAAGTAATTTCCAAATAATTCATTACATGCAATAATGTATAATGTAGACCTCTTCCCTCTGCTCAGTTACTTAAGTGAAACTTTGCTTCCAGATACTGGACCCTTGCTTTTGTTAACTGCTCCCTCTTCCACAGTAGAGTTAGTAACAGTGTACCATGAGTCAAGAGACATGGCCTCAAATGTTCATCTTATAGAACACTATCACATTTTCATAAGCATTTATTTTTTACTCTGAGCTCCACATTTTTCATTTATGAATAAGGATTCTAACTGAATTATCTTTGAGCATGTGCAGCAATCTGATTATCTGAATTTATGATTTAATGACTGAGTATTATTTGTAAATTATTTTCCTTACTTACACTGAGTTACTCACATCACTGAGTTACTCACATCACCCAAGATAGGCATTTATAGATCTTCAATGCAGGCATTCCTTCAGAGAGCTCCTAGGAAACAATATCCTCAGAGAAATGTATGCTTACATTTATCCCAAATGTTACTGCTTGAAATGTGTGTCTTTCCCTGGATTTTTTTTTTTTTTTTTTTACCAATTTGTTCTTAACTTTTAAACTTTGAACTATAAAGCGGTCTAGAGAATGCCTTTTGTTGCATTTTTAAAGTTTTGCCCTTTTGGTTACTTTGAAAATGTCTTTGTAAAAAAAATATTCTGTCGACTTTATTTCATGAATTTACCATTCCAGTCTCCATATGTGATGGGTGACATGTGATATTCCATATATTCAAAAACCCTAGAATTTTAATTGCTACCAAGTTCTAATCTGTAGCATTATATGTTACTTGGTAGGAATTTATCTGGCTTTGCATAGAGCAAGCCTAGCTTAAACATAAAATGTCAAAGAAAATAAAGTATAAGGGAAAGTCCATATTGCTTGGAATTACTTTCAATGTGAGATATATAAAGAAAGCTGTTCTTTGTGTCACCTTGAAAATAAACAACTTAACTTTACCATGATGAATTATTTAAAGCCATCATACTGTCAGGCAGATTTAAATATAAGGGAATTCATTTTATGTTTGAATTCTGGAGTACTTATAAAGATGAAAGTTACAAATATTGAACAAGAGTCATTTTTCAAGTTTAACAAATAATTATTTAATACTTAGCTATATATCCTTGTGTGTTTGTTTGCATTACCTTCAGGATGTTCTAAAACCTTGTGATTACAAGCATAACTCCCATTGCTGGCAA